ACCTCCTCACAAAATGTCAAAATTTTCAAAAAAAAATATTTTACTGCACAGAAAATGAAATCTCAATATTTTCCTCAGTGCTACGTCAGGTGAGAAAATGGACAATATCGGTCGAATCCATAAACACCTCCCCCACATATTGGTATGAAGATGTGATATATCTGTCCACTCCTTTTGGTACCTCTCCCACAAAAGGTCAAATTTTTGAATATCCATGAAGCTCATAAAGCACGAAATTAAAATCCGATTCCATTCATATTTGGCATATCCGAATACCAAATATATGTTATAAATATGGTAAAGATCTGAATTTTTCTTTCTGGTCCTTCTCCACCAAGGGTCAACGTCTTGAATAATCATAACTATTATAAAATTTAAGATAAGCATCCGGTTCTCTTCAAATTACACACATCAAAATATTTTTATTAAACCATGGTCTCGTGTGAAGATGTGATATATCGGTCTACTTCTTCTTCTACGTCAAAACTTTTTATATCCATGAAGCTCATAAAACTCGAAATTAAAATCCGATTCCATTCAGACTTGGCACATCTCAATATTTCTGTCAACACAAGATCTGTAAGAAAGATGGTAGATCTGTAAAGGATGGTATCTGAATTTTTCTTTCTGGTCCTTCTCCACAAAGGGTCAAAGTTTTTAATAACCAAAACGATTATAAAATCTGAAATAAGCATCCGGTTCTCTTCATATATCACACATTTCTACTATCACAAGATCTGTTGTAAAGTTGGGATATATCGGTTCACTCCTTCTGAAACCTCCCCCACAAAGTGTCAACATTTAGAAATCACCCACTCTTCGAGCATTCCGCTCGCTCATCCTACGTGAGAACGAGTAAATCTGTGCTCTGGTTATAAACAAATCAAAGTTATGGAATTTTTCGGTAGTGAGTAGGTGTTTGAGATTCAACAACTAAAACGGCTTAAAGGTAGGCTAGGTCGATCTTTTGTCATGCGACAACTTATATGTTTGTGTGATCAGTTGTTTCAATTGCTTCTTTGTCAAAATTTTAAAAAAAATTTAAAAAATAATAATAATAATAATAATGAAGTTGTTATTGGATATCACGTGTGCTTCAGGAAGACGTGGACCTACATGGGTTGCATTTTTTCTTTTTTTGAATCATAATATATCAGAATCGTTATATAGGAACTATACCAAAACTTGGACCTATATTGTACATTTTTAATGTCAAAAAACGACGGACCAAAAATACAAATTTATTTTATTCGTAAAGTAGGGTTATTTCCACATAAAGACGGGTGGCAATGGCTAAACCAACATAGAATCTCATGTTGGCCAAAAAATATATATACAAAATTCGTGGGAAATTTAAAGTTATTTCGATGGACACGGACTGTCAACTAATATGTAGGCTCCCTACTATGATGAAGGGTTTAGTAAGGTTTTACGAACAAAGCGCATTATGGTATAAAAATGGGGAAATGATATTTTAATGTATTTCCATGGAATTCAGATATTACTTCTTATCGCAAAAATATAATAAAATGTTTGGCAAAAATACAACAATAACTCTCAACAACAACTTTGCAACTCTCATTCTCATACATCGCAACATTTCACATTAAATACATCATATAACATTGACTCGACTTGAAATCACAACTTATCAACTTTTTATTTTTAAAAATTGTGCAGTGACGAATTTGTTCTGCCATTGACCTTGACTTGCATTAATATTATCAGTGTTTTTGTTTATGTTCAAAACAAGGGACAATAAAAAACTTTTACAAAGCTTTCTTGGATATATGTAGGGTTATTTATGCGTAGTTTCATGGAAGCAAGCTTCTTACGTAACAAAGGAATGACACCCAAATTGTTAAAAACTAGAAAATTTCTCAAATACCTATTTACCCTTGCATGGAGCCTATAACAAAACGTGGATCAAAACAACCCATTATCAACACCAAAAATGTTAAAATAAATTTAAATTTCTATTATTATATAACACCTTCAAATATTTGTCCTACACATATGAACCTGGATCTTCCCATCGCGCCGAGCTATCGATAAATATTGAAATGGACCAAAAAAGGAAAAAAATCCTTGATTTTTTGTTGCTCTACAGGCCAAAATTAAGTACCAATCGACGCGAAATATCGTATCAAGTTAGAATTAGGGCTGGACAGAAACCTGCCAATTTGAAGTCATCGGACATCATTTAGCGGGTAATATAACTGATAACTTACATTTAAAAAAAATACGAAAATGTCCACATTTATTGCCCGATCCAGATGAAATTTTGCACAAATCATTTGTTTGGCCCAAGGACGAACCCTATTGAAATTGGAGATAATCGGTCAAAATTTAGATATAGCTTCCATATATATCTTCCTCCGATTTTCATTTTATTGTGAACCAAACGTGTAATATCAGCCCGAATTGTATGGAATTTTGCACATACAACCAAATTAGGCCTGAAAGTAAGTATGCCAAATTTGATCGAAATCGGTTCAGATATAGCCATAGCTCCCATATATATTGTTCATCCGATTTGTTATTTTTGTCCCCCGCAGCTCCCATATATATTGTTCATCCGATTTCTTGTTTTTGTCCTCCGCAGCCGTAATATGCACTCTGCAACAACAATATTTGGGGAAACATATCAAATATAGCTCAGAAATACATTTGCTAAATTTTATCAAGATCGGTTCAGATTTGGATATAGCTCCCACATATAAATTCGTCCGATTTACCTTTTCTTGTGCACCAAGCGTCTAATATTTGCCCAAATTTGACACTTACGAACGAATTGAGTCTAGAAGCTTGTATATCAAATTTGGTAAAGATCGGTGAAGATATAGCTATAGCTTCCATATATATTGATCATCCGATTTGTTATATTTGTTACCCACAGCCGTAAGATGCACTCCGTAACAACGATATTCAGGGAAATATATCAAATAAAGCTCAGAAACATCTTTGCCAAAGTTTATCGAGATCGGTTTAGATTTGAATATAGCTCCCATATAAATTATTATTCGATTTTAAATTATTTGTGCACCAAATGGGCAACACAAGTCCGAATTTAAAAGATACAAATGCTTCGGCATATTTAGTCCTTCGAACTTTAAATTATAATTATAATCATGGCGCGTATCATTGAATTCTCCCATAAAAACTTTTAATTGTTATGCGGAGCTCTACTAAATTAGCAAAGTGGTGTAGGGTATCAAAAAGTCGGCCCCGCCCGACTTTAAGACTTCCTTCACCGGTTTTAATTTGACTTACAATTTTGAATTGTACATTTTTTACAGTTTTTCTATACCCTATGTGTTGAGGGTATTGTATGCCATTCACAATTATCGTCCGATACCGACGAAATTTTGTATGGAGGTTGGGTTAGGGTCAGAATAGTAACCTTTTGTTATTGAAGATGTACATTTAGGGGTTTAAATAGACCAACAAATCGCTCTATAGGTCACAATTGAAAACCAATCAACCTGCAATTTTGCATGGGACGAGAGTTAAGGACAGAAAGAAAATAGACGGAAAAGAGCAAAAGAGTTGATTCCCTTGACCGAAAGTGGTGAACTGCCGAACTTGTTTTTCTACGATTAGAAAACATTCGTTGTCCAGCAGTTTGTAAACAAACAAAATGATCTTGTTTACTTGCCAAAGAGGTCTGCTGAAAATGTGCACCCTCGGTTTGCCACCAGAACTCAAGCGCCGGCAATGGTGATGGTGTGGGCCGCCATAACAGCCGATGGTCGCTCTCCGCTCGTATTAATCGACCGTGTCATCAGAATAAATGCCGAATATCTTCGTGAAAATATTCTCAAGGGTGTATTAAAGCCTTGGACACGCAAACATTTTGGCCGCAAACCTTCGACATTCCAACAGGACAAAGCACCATCGCACCCAGCACACGTCACCCAAGAATAGTTACAAAATGGGTTCCTCGCTTCATTTCCCGCTCACAATGGCCACCAAAATCTCCGGATACCAATCCGTTGGACTATTGTGTCTGGAGTATTTTGAAAAGCAAGGTTGGCACTAAAAAACACCAAATCGATCACCTCAAGCAAGAGCTTCTCCGAGAATGGGCCAAAATACCGCAGAGCAACATTCGGGCAGGATGTGGCGGTTTCATTGGCCGTTTAAAGGCCATAATTCGTGGCAAAGGTGAAATCTAAACTTAATCTATAATTTAATGCTATTTCCGACATTTTTGCTTTCATTCAATAAATTTAAAAAAATTAAAAATTATGGCGTTTGATTTTGTTGCAGTTTTTTAATCTCACCCTGTATATACTTTGTGGGATCTAAAATGTATATTTCGAGGTGTTGCAAACGGAATGACAAATTTAATATAACCTACATACTATGATGGAGGGTATAATAATATATTTCAGTTAAAAAGACATTAAGTTCCGTCGGGCAGATATGTTAATAGCCACCACCATTAGATACCTAGATATTAAATTTTCTGCCGATGGAGCTAGAACATATTACGAACTACAAATGCCATTTTATGGTCAAATCGGTGGGAAAATGTGGCAAAAATGATCAAAATGCCGAACATCGGGAGGTACCGTTATTTGGGGGCTATCCCAAAATATTGACCGATATATATCGTTTTCAATACCAACCATCCTTTTCACAATACATACTACTGTGCCAAATTTTAAAGCTCTAGGTCAAATATTGTGGGCTGTATCGTGATTTCAAGAGACAGGCAGACAATTAATCAACTTAGAATTTTAAGCTGATCATGAATATAGATCTACTTTATGAGATCTATGACGAATATTTAGAGATGTTACAAACAGAATGACAAATTTAATATTCCCTCCTTCCCAAGGTGGTTGGTATAAAAATATAGAAACACTGGTGAAATTTGCATCAGATTTTTTTCATTTTATGAACGCACCAAATCTCTTTGAAATTATCTCCATAAGTTCTCGTGAAACCATATTTTAATGAAATTTTTACTTTTTAACAAATTGCCTTTTCAGGTCTCCTTGAATCCACAAACTTTTAACAGGAAATCATATTCTACAAAGACAAAAGTTGAATTTGTGCCTCCTTTTTTTGTGAAATGCAGTGCAGCGCAAATAAAAAGCCATGGGGACAGCATTAATTTCACTCAACGCTAAAAAAGATATTAGCTCCTTAATTACGGAAGTCAAACAGACCCAACACAACGTCGAGCAATTTCATAGAATACCAGAAGAAGAAGAAAACCTTTTAAAAGTTTTTCCTACCATTAGCATGTTGAGGCTTAATTAAAGGAGTTAAGTTTTTACGTTTCTTGGTTATTTTCCCCCGCTTACTCAGCACGAGAGCGAACTTGTGCACTCGCACCAGGAAAAAAATACAAAACTGCTTTAGCGCTTTTTGTAATGGAAAATTAAATAAATTTAAGATATAAAAGCCTCCTCGTGCCAACTGTAGGATTTAAATGGGTGAGTTGTTATTGTAGTTCATGCACCTACACCTACTAATTGGCCACACAACAATCGCCACCACCACCCCCAACAACTGGCTGTCACTCCATTTGTCCAACTTACGCAGCTGCATTTGCAAAGTCAACGAAAACGACAAAATGGAAAATGATGAAAAATTATTGCAGGATGATTATGCGGCAGCTACCTCTCCCGCATCGTCTTCGTCCATTGCTGCTACGGCTGCCACAGCTGCTGTTCCAACAACTCGCTGTCCCCTGGTGCGAACACCATCACCTTCAGCAGCCACAAGTCCACATACACCACCACTGCAACCGCTGGTGCAGACATTTACCGCACCATTGCATCGCAAAAAAGGCCGACTACAACGCTCGGAACGTTTGCAAACTGTCGACAGTTCATCGAACAACTCGACTGCAACAAATTCGACCACAACACCAACTTCATTTTCAGCCTGGGAGGCATTGGTAAAGGAAAGTTTCGGTCAAATTGCGTGGCCAATAAAAATTACATCATGGGAGCTGGTCGATGATCGTGTAAAGGTCGTACCCAATAGGTAAGCGAAATGAAATTTACAATATTTGAGTTACAATATTAAAAAAAAATGTGTATGTAGAAAATATATTGAGATTTTCTCATCAGCCAAGTGGTAAGAACATTACTGGTACTACTGAGGTTACTGACAGCTACATAACCTCTGCATTAGCAGTAGTTATTATAGTTATACCCTGCAAAAATATGTGTTGAGGGTATTATAAGTTTATGTAACACCTCGAAATATTGGTTTCCCACATAGGAAAGTGTATATGGATCTTCCTATCTCGCCGAGCTGAGTCGATCTAGCTATGTATGTCCGTCCGTCGGTCCGTCTGTCCATGTTAATTTGTAATCACTCTACAGGTCGCAATTAAGGCCCGATCTTAACGAAATTTTGAATGGAGGTGGGGCTAGAGCCAGAATAGATACCTATTGCTTTTAGAGATGATCGCATAATATTTATATCATATTATAATAGACCAAAAATTGAAAAATTTCCTGATTTTGCAGTTGCTCTACAGGTCGCAATTACAGACCAATGGAAGCGAAAGTTAGCATGGTACTAGAGCTTAGGGCTGGGCAGAAGCCTTCCAATTTTGATGGTCATCGGGTAATATTTAGTGGTTGAAATAGACCATAATATTTGTGTTAAATAAAAGTCAAATTTTTCATTAAACCGCGAATATTTTTAATCCCGGCGAAATAGATGATCGTTACGTAGATGCCGAAAGTAAATACATCGGACATATATATGTAAATAGAGAAAAGAGATATATGTAAATAGAGAAATATATACAATGTGTATATACAAAGGAAAGGGATGTTATATCTCAATGCTTATATCTCAAGAATGGCTGGACCGATTTTGACAAATTTTGTCAATTAAAAATGCATTCTTGGCATAAAAGAATGAAATCTAAAAAAAATCGGATAAAAAGATGTCAATAATTATGTTAATATAGATTTTGTAGTATTTTGTGATATTTTTTTTAATTTTTTCATATTTTCTATTGCATGAGATTTTTTTAATTTGACTTATAATATTGAAATGTATGTTTTGTAATATTTTTTCACCTTACAACACGACCCTAACGAAAATTTTCAAAACGGTAGCGTTAGACTCAGAAGGGCTAGGCCTGTTTTTCAGGGGCTGGAATGGACCAACAAAAAATGTTCCTGAAAGCAAAGGACACGAATTCTCGCATGAAGTTAAAGTTTCGGAGAGCGGGTAGAATGGACCTCTACTTTTGTGTAAAACCAGTAAAGAAAGTCTTAAAGTCGGGCGGGGCCGACTTTATGATACCCTACACCACTTTGCTAATTTAGTTGAGCTTCGCATAACAATTAAAAGTTTTTATGGGAGAATTCAATGATACACGCTATGATTATAATTATAACTTATAGTTCAAAGGACTAAATATGCCGAAGCATTTGTATTTTTTAAATTCGGACTTGTATTGCCCATTTGATGCAGAATTAATTTGAAATCGGATAAAGATATATATGGGAGCTATATCCAAATCTGAACCGATCTCGATAAAATTTGGCAAAGATATTTCTGAGCTGTATTTAATATATATCTCTCAATATTGTTGTTACGGAGTGCATATTACGGATGAAAAGTATATATGGGAGCTATAGCTATATCTGAACCGATCTTCACCAAATTTTACATACTAGCTTCTAGACTCAATTCAGTCGTAATTGCCAAAGATCATCCCATTTAGACGAATATTAGACGTTTGGTGCACAATAAATTGTAAATCGGACGAAGTTATATATCCAAATCTGAACCGATCTCGATAAAATTTGGCAAAGATATTTCTGAGCTGTATTTGATATATCTCCCTGAATATCGTTGTTACGGAGTACATATTACGGCTGCGGAGTACCAAAAATAACAAATCGGATGAACAATATATATGGGAGCTATAGCTATATCTGAACCGATTTCGATCAAATTTGCATACTTATTTTCAGGCCTAATTTGGTTGTATGTGCAAAATTCCATACTATTCGGGCTGATGTTACACGTTTGGTGTACAATAAAAGGCAAATCGGACGAAGATATATATGGGAGCTATATATAAATCAATAGGGTTCGTCCTTGGGCCAAACAAATGATTTGTGCAAAATTTCATCTGGATAGGGCAATAAATGCGAACTGTACTTTGTTTACAAAAATACATGGACAGACGTACGGACGGACTGACATGCATAAATCGACTCAGAATGTGATTCTGTGGCCTTCAAATGGCCAATGAAACCGTCACACGCTGCCCGAATGTTGCCGAATGGAATATTGCGATATGTTCAACTCATGAGCCATTTTTCGGCCAAAGCGACGCGGGTTTCGATCCGGTCGCTTCTTTACTTTTCGAACCATTTCTGCTGATGTTGCTGTTTTCTATCACGCTTGAATAACTTTTTTCTGAAAAATTCTAACCAAAATGCTTTTTTAGGCTTGTAAACAATATAATGAGCTGTCACTAGAATAATTTTAACAGCTGTCGGACGAATGGCTTAGAAATGACAGCAGCCTGAAGTTGGTTGCAGTTTTTTCATCTCACCCTGTATGGTGTAGAATAAAATTTAAATCAGACGAAAATATATGTGGGAGCTATATGTAAATATGAGCCGATATTCACAAAAATCGCCCAACTGATTCTGGCCGTGTGTACTAAAATTTAGTTGATTCGGACTGATATTACGGATTTACAGTATCCACTAGGACATAGTTAGTTCGACTAAAAGTGGCCAGAAAACCATTTCACCATTTCAAAAAATATGAAGTCTAACACCATCATTTCAATTATACACCTTATTGACCAAATCAATTAATATACTCCCCCTATAGATTCAGAGGGTATATTATTAAAAAAAAAATTTTGAAAATTTGTATATTTTAAAAGTTTTTTTTTATTAATATTAAACACTAAAATATGTGAGCAACAAAATAACAATAACAACAAAAAAGGGTTAATACTTTTCAACAAATAATTGCTACCATGGCAGTTAACCATAATAACCACCAACTTGACCATAACCAGGATAGCCAGCATTTGGATAGCCAGCACTTGGATAGCCAGCATTTGAATAGCCAGCACTTGGATAGCCTCCACTGGGATAACCACCATAGGCACTTGGGTAACCTCCACTGGGATATCCACCATAAGCAGCACCTTGATAGCCGGCGTTTGGGTAGCCGCCAAAAGCACCTGAATATCCAGGGTTTGGGGCAGCAACTGGTGGTGGTGGGGCAGGTGCGGAAATTGGTGCAGGTGGTGGAGGCTGAGCAGCTCCAGCAGGGTTGCGATTATTACCACCGCCAAGAACGTTACTGATTAGACCACCAAATAAACCACCACCACCGCCATTGTTGCCACCACCTAAGAGATTACCCAGAAGGCCACCGTTGTTTCCGCCACCTAAGAGGCCTCCTAGGCCGCCCAGTAAACCACCCGGCCTTTGGTTATTTTGGGCACATGCCAGGCTCACACAAACCGCCACAATCACAAGTTTTAAAGTCTGAAGAGGCAAAGATTTGTCAAAAATAAAAGCAAAATAATTATTTGATTTTGCAACACATACCTTTGAAAACATTTGAAAAAATATTTTTTGATAGTAAGTTTTGATCTATGATTTCTTCTGTGCAATGCCCTGAGATTTAATGTTGATTAGTTATAACAAATATTAGTTTTTATACTAAAAAAATTCTTTAGTTTTCGTTTTCATCCCACGCCCACACACAATATTTTTCCCATCAAAATAAACATTTATTATCCCTACCAAATTTGCAAACTCATATTTTTTGCGGAAATTGCAAAAATCTATGCTTGTTTCAAAATCTTAGAACAAGAACCATAACAAAAATTGATAGAATATTTTAATTTCCAAAAAAAAAAACTTTTACTGCTATCGTAGCGTGCCGTGTCAATGGACGGCGAACCATTTCTTGTCTTCACTGACCCTCAACTTGAAAATGAACTTGCAATGAATGGGATTTCCCAAACTTAACGTTTCGATCAAGTCAAATCACAAACTGGATGAAGTTTGTGATTTACGCACCACACTTTTTCGTTCTTCTTCTTTGTTGACATTAGAATAAACTAAAATCTCCCAAAACAGGTTTCGAATACCCCATCTATGGCTAACAGTGGCGGGAATGACATCTAAATAAATGATTAACCACAGTCACTAGGTGGTCAGAGCGTTCCGATGGCGAGTAAAAACATTTATGAATCACCATAACACAACATGTGGATTGGGGGACTAGTTTGTTTTCAATCTGTTTAGTTTTAAGTCAATACGGTTGAAGCTTTATTGTTTCGGATGCTATTATCGATAGTTGGTTTTTATCACGGCTGTTGTTCTGCCCCTTTGTTTACATTATTTGATTTGTTTTTTTTTTTTAATGCTTCACAAACATCTTGATCATAATTTGAATATTTGGAAAGCCCAAATTTCGTTGTTTATCACACACTAGAGTTCATAATTATATTTGTATTTAAAATTTAATAAATGGAAAATTACTTATGCAACTATCAAGTGGAAAAAATTGAATTGCCAAAAGCAAAAATTAAATAATTTCATTAGTAAAAATGGATTGTAATCTTTTCTTCACAATAAACAAACATAAATTAAATAACAAAAATTGGATAAAGCCTGACTATTTTGATGTTTATACCCTACAACACTATGTGTTGGGGGTATTATAAGTTTGATTGGGCCAGAATTTATGTAACACCTCAAAATATTGGTTTCCCATATAGGAAAGTATATATGGATCTTCCTAGCTCGCCGAGCTGAGTCGATCTAGCTATGTATGTCCGTCCGTCCGTCTGTCCGTCTGTCCGTCTGTCCATGTTAATTTGTAATCACTCTACAGGTCGCAATTATGGCCCGATCTTCACGAAATTTAGAATGTAGGTGGGGCTTGGACCAGAATAGGACCCTATTGCTTTTGGAGGTGATCGCTAAATGTTTAGTGTTTGGAATGGGACAAATACTGAAAAAATG